CCTTGCTCTGGGCCAGGTGGCCCTACCAATCAGGACCCAGATGCATCCCAGGGTGCATCTTACTAAGCCAGGATGAAGACCAAGAATCCACAGTTCGGAAAACAGGACCCCTGCCCTGAAGATGCTCACTGACTGATACAGGGGAACTAGATCCCGCCACTTCACCTGCCTGAGCCTCCATTTCCCCCTCTGCAAAATGAGGATACAATGGAAGAGAGAGAGCAATTGCTATTCACAGCTTCCTTCTGGGGGAGGTGAGCTGTTGCCCTGCTGCGTATCTTGATGGCTGAGACACGCAAAGATGGCCTAGCGCTGCACTGGGGATAAGGACTGGAGAGGAGTGAATTAACCTGCAATTAAAAAGGTGAGAATTTAGGGTTCCTAGAAAAGAGGGGGAAGTGGAGAGAGAAAGAAATAGAACAAGACAAATGGTGTGAAGATAAGTGACTGTGTGGGTGGAGAAGCCAGTAAAAAAAATCCTGTGCCGTGGGTGACTGAGAGCTTTCAGGGTGAAGGGTGCTTAGTTTTCAATTATTTTTTTTTTAAAATGGGTGTTTCAGGGGATACCTGCAATACTTTCAGCAATGAAGATTTTTGAAAAAGGATGTTTCCTTTGGTGTGTGTATGTTTGGCTTTATGCAATTCACACCTCTGTCCTCCCCATCTTTAGTGAAATGGACATATGCACACACTTACAAATATACACACATGTCGTTGTGTGCACAAGTGTGTGAACCAAGGAAGAGGCTGATTTATGCGCATGGAACAAGGGCAGCCTGTGTGGGGCTGAGAGATTGAGAGAGGAGCCATAAGCTGGCTGAATTCTGAAGGAGAATGGAAGCACTCGGGGAGTTCCCAGAGATCTGGGGGAGGGGTGGGGATGTTCGCGGGTCATCTCATGGGGCTTCAGACCCGTTTAGTCAACATTCTAGAAACAAGAAACCCCCAGCGGACATGATGGGGATCACATGACCTCACTTTCCAGGTTGTGGTGAGGCTGGGGGATAATGTATGCAGTGCTCCAAGCACACCGTCTGATATTAACTTGGCACTCAGCAGATGGCATCTGTCGTTAAGATGAAAGGAGGGGACACAGATAAACATGAAAAAGAAAGTCCTGATTGTACAGGCAGAGCTTTGTGTGCCACAGCTTTTCAGGCGGCAAACATAAAGAACCGGCCTTGAAAGACCTGCAGGTGCGGGAGGAGCAGGGAGAGAGCCAGGCGAGCAGCCCCGGGGAGATGCGGAAGCAGGAATGACAGCATGGACGCACAGGTGGTGGTGTACGGAGTGAAGACTCCCACAGTATCTGAGTTACAGGAACTCTAACGATGTGCCCGCGAGAGGACACAAACACGTTTGGGAGGCGTGTTGGAGCCAGGCAGGAGACGGCCTGAACGAGTGGACAGGAGGATGCAGGAAGCACACTTCATGGTGGGGTCACGGTTTCTAGCCGTGGTTGCCTCCAGGACCTGTGTGGCTCCAGGCACACCGTCCCTTTCTCAGACCTAGAAGGGGAGGGAGCTGGACTTTGCTTCCAAAGGCCCTTCCAGACCCATTGGGCTGATGCTGGGGCAATGGGAGCCTCCGAAGGCTCAGGGTGGCAGGCGGAATAGTTCTCACCCAGACAGCCCTTGTGGTCCGCCGCTAGCTGGTAGCCCGGGTTGCAGGTGCAGTGGAAGGTGCCAGGGGAGCTGACACATTGGTGCTGGCAGCCGTGTCCCCCGTCAGCACACAGGTTCTTTCCTGAGGACACACAAGAGGAGAACAGCAGGGGACAATGGGCAGAACCCTCCCACAGGAGACATTGGGTGCGGGCAAAGGCAGCAACCACGACCAACTATGGACTTAGGTGGGAAAGGATTCACTCGAGAAGGGCCGATCCAGGTGGGAAGGCTTCGGGAAAGAACACAGCCCGTTCACAGCCCCTGTGAATAGGCTCCAAAGAGGAAGGCCCCGGTTCTGTGTGTCCATGGGCTGGGGCAGGACTGTGCAGGGGTGAGGCGGAGAGGCGGAGAGGCGGAGAGGCGCTGGACCAAGGTGGGCGGAGTAACTCTAGCAGCTTGGAGGAGGGGCTAAAATGCGAGCGGGCAGGGCCATGCTCTTGTGGGTGAGACATGACTCTTTGAAGTGGGCAGTTGGCTCTCACGTTTGAGGGGCGGTGCTGCCAGTGTTGAGGGGGCGGTGTTGGAGGTGACATTAAGGCCTTGGTTAAACCACAGCCCATCCTAGTTGGAGAGCTCGACAAATGTTGCTACTGGTGCGTGAAGCCTAAGCAAAAGGGGCCGTGGCTGCATGGCGTGCGTTAGGCCTTGAGTAAGGTGACCAGATGTCCCGATTTTTAACAATTTGTCTGGTCACCTTAAGCGCCTCCGCTCTCTGGTGGGCGGGCCCCCGCCTTGGGGGGGATGGAAGAGGTAGAAACGGGAATCTGGGCAGATTGAGCCTCGCTCCAGCGCGCCCCCAGCTCACCGCACAGCCGGTCCTGGAACTGCAGGCCGAACTCCTGGATCAGGTCGAAGGACTCCACCAGGAAGACGTGCTCGTCCAGCGGGGGCGATGCCATGGCGCGCAGGGAGCCCACGTCGGCGCGCTGCACCCCCACCGCGTAGATCTCGATGCCGCGGGCGCGCGCCTGCGCCGCCACCTCCGCCACCCGGTCCTGCGGCCGCCCGTCCGTCACGATCACGGCCACGCGAGGCACGCGCGCCTCCGGCGGGCGCGCGCCCTCGGCCACGCTGAAAGCCACGTTCATGGCGTACTGGATGGCCAGCCCGGTCATGGTGCCCTGCGCCAGCGGCACCAGCGCGCGGACGGCGCGCTCCATGTCCTCGCGGCGCGAGAAGGCGCCGAGCCGGAAGACGCTCTGCACCTGGCTGGAATACTGGATCACGCCGACGCGCGTGGCGTCCGGCCCCACGTCCAGGCGGCGGAGCAGGCCCACTAGGAACTGCCGCATGGTCTCGAACTCGAAGGGGCGCACGCTGCGCGAGCTGTCGATCACAAACACCAGATCCAGGGGTCCGGTGCGGCACCGGGGGCCTGCGGGGAGGTCAGAGAGGGCGTTCCTAGGTCAGAAAGCCTTCTCTCCGAGGAGATCCCCAGGGAAAACCAGGGCGGAATGGCACTCGCCCTGCATAACAGCGCCCTCACGGAATTACCCCAGGAACTGCAAGTCAGATGCCTGCTCTCCCCCAGCAGGTGCTGAGGGCCTGGGCCAGGAGATTCACCAGTCCTCTATCCGACAGCTCTGAGGGCTGTTCGGAGGAGGCATTGCCCCTTGGGGACAGGGAGAGGCAATGTGGCAATTCAAATGCCCGTAGGAGCCAGGTGGGCAGCATAGAGGAGTGGACCGGTGGGGTAGGATGGGGGGCACCCAGAGAGCCCGTATCCCTCCCTCCTAGAGTGGGCAGCTGCAGCCAAAAGTCGCATGCAGCATGCAGACGCATGTTAGCAGATCCTTGGATTTTTAAAAAGAAGTCTCAACTACGGATTTTTATGTGAAATCTCTTGATTTTTTTCAATTAACTCTGAAAATTTTAACACCAAATAGGCATTCTGCACGAGCCCAATCTTGTTATCTCTAAGCCACGTCCTACAGATGGGGAGACTGAGGCCCAGAGAGGTGAAAGGTTACATTTGAGGGGGGAGAGGGGGAAAGGGGGTAAGGGACACACACTTCCAACGTCTTGCTTTTCTCTCCCAGCAGGCCTAGCTGGCTGCAGACAGAAAACCTGACTTGCTCCTCTCCCCTCGCTGGGTGGGGCTGCACTCCCGCTCACCTTCGAACTGGAGCTGGGTTTCCCAGGGCTGGAGGAGCAGCAGCAGTATGGGCAGTGGTGAGCGTGGAAGGCCCCTCATGGCACTTGGGGGACAGAAAACAGCGTGTCAGAGCCTGGAGGGAGGAAAGGAAATGGCAAAACAATAGGATCTGCAGGACTCTCATGCTGGGTGATGGGCACTTGGGGTGTAGGAGGTTCCTGGGTTTATTTTTCTGATCTCTCTGCTTTTGTGTATCTTTTCACAATAATTAATTTTCATTACAGTGAGATTGCTGAGTTCCTTGGGCCGGACACAAGGTGAAACGCTTCTCACGCATTGTGGCATTTAGTCCTCTCGACAAGTTGGCAATTCTATTATGAGAGGGGCTGTCACTGTTCCCACTGTATATAGATGGAGAAACAGGCCCAAAGAATGTAAGCGCGGGAACCCAAAGTCTCGCGACAAGAAAGTGGTTGCACCGGGATACAATCCTACACCTAGGACAGTGGTCGTCAAACTCATTAGTCAACAGAGCCAAATATCAACAGTACAAGGATTGAAATTTCTTTTGAGAGCCAAATTTTTTAAACTTAAACCATATAGGTAGGTACATTGTTATTAACTTATTTAGGGTACTCCTAAGCTGGCCTTTGCTAAAAACTCAAGGGGCCAAAGAGCCGCATGTGGCTCGCGAGCCACAGTTTGCCGACCACTGACCTAAGGGACTGGTAGTTCCACGCCTTCGTTTCCCAGGGAGGAAAACCTCTGCAGAAGGAAGCCATTCCTCACCGCCTCACCCGGGGTCCCTTTTCCTCCCCACACAAGGCGCCTCTGTGTGGCTATCCACACACACACACACACACACACACACACACACACACACACACACACCCGCACAACCGCAGGCCTGGGGAGGGCCTGGCGCTCCGGATGGGGAGGATTGGGAGGGTGAGGGGCGGACCTCGACTGGCCTCCAGTTCCCAGGAGAAGCCGCCAGGGGGCGATCTCCCGACCTGGCCTCATGGGCTCCGTGGCCGTGGGAAGCCACATCTGCCCAGCAGGTGCCCCTGCCCAGAGCAAACAGGGCCGGGAACCAGGGCCTTGAGATAAGGTGGGGGGGCGGAGGGAGGCTATATCCGGCCTGAGGGCCCGGAGCGGGGCGCGCAGGGTGCTGAGGGCAGCAGCACGGGCCGCACCCAGAGGGCTGAGGGAGCGGCTGGCGGCCTCGGGACGCGGCCATGGACCCTGTGGGGGCAGCAGGTGAGCGTTTACACCCCCCCCCCCCCAGGTGCTGGGCGAGGCCCCTGGAGAATCACGAGGAAGACTCCCATTGCACAGATGGGGAACATGAGGCCCAAGCTTAAGGTGAGCAGATGTCCCGATTTTGAACAATTTGTCCCCGCGTGGGGACTATTTTAAAACGCCGCGGGACGCGGGGACAAATTGTTCAAAATCAGGACTGTCCCGCCAAAAGCGGGACGTCTGCTCACCTTACCCTACAAGCTGGCAGCCACGGAGCTGCAGAGAGACCTGGGACTCCTGGAGTTGCTCCCCTCCTTCCTTTTTTTTTTTTTTTTCTTCTTCTTTTTAAAAATATATTTTATTGATTTTTCACAGAGAGGAAGAGAGAGAGTTAGAAACATCGGTGAGAGAGAATCATCAATCAGCTGCCTCTTGCACACCCCCCCCACTGGGGATGTGCCTGAAACCAAGGTACATGCCCTTGACCGGAATCGAACCCAGGACCTTTCAGTCCGCAGGCCTACGCTCTATCCACTGAGCCAAACCGGTTTCGGTCCTTTCTTCCTTTTGAGTTGCCAGTGTCCAGGGGCCCCTGGACCTCTCTTCTTTGCATCCACGCCCTCTGCTCTCTCCCACTCCCGCGCCCATGCTGGATGCCTTGGCCATTTTTCTCTGCCGCCGCCTGGCAGAGGGGGCCAGCCGCCCCCGACCCAGCCGCAGCCCCGCCCCTTCCCCCAGCCGTGAATGGGCCTATTCTGAGCGAGGCTGGTGTCTGCCGCTCGCTCTAGGCGGCCTTCCCGTCCCGGATCCTCTCAGGCCAGAGGAACAAAAATCCCTCTGGCAGGGACCGTCGCGGAGGGTGACTGAGCCAGATGTGCCAGCTGCTGGAGGTGGAGACGTGTGGAATGCTTTCTCCAGCTTGGGCCGCAGCTGCGGCCAGGATCCCCCTCCCACCCCCAGAGCAGGGAGGTTTAATAAGCTCGAGGGGTTTTTGCCATCTCTCAACCTTTCCTACTTTCAGAAGCCTCCAAGCCCCCAGGCCCCCCCAATCTTTTTTTTTTTTAATACATTTTATTGATTTTTTACAGAGAGGAAGGAAGAGGGACAGAGAGTTAAAAACATCGATGAGAGAGAATCATCGATCAGCTGCCCCCTTCCCCCCTACCCCCTCACTGGGGATGTGCCCGCAACCAAGGTACATGCCCTTGATCGGAATTGAACCCGGGACCTTTCAGTCCTCAGGCCGAGGCTCTATCCACTGAGCCAAATCAGTTTCAGCTAGGCTCTCCCAATCTGATTAAGGTCCCCTTATCCTGCTCTTTCATCTGGCGCCCTACCTGTACCCCAGGAACCCTAGAAAATCAACATAGCGGCCGCCTCGGAGTCCATCCCCTCTCCAATCCCCTCCTCCTACGGAGGAAGGAACTGGGTCCAGAGACAGCCGTGTCTCACCCCAAGTCACACAGCAACGTGGTGGCGAGGCTGACGCTAGAACCCAGAGCTCTTTGGCAGGGGGGCGGGGTGACTCAACACCCCAAGACCTGGAGATGCCTCTAGGGCGGGGCGAATGGCTGCAGAGGGAGGAAAGTGCTGTGAGTGATTCCTCCAGAGCTGGCTGAAGAGTGGGCGCCTTGGGGCGGTTCCTGGGGGTTCCCGAGGGGAGGGGATTGGGGAACACGTCCCCTCCCCTTTTCGGGGGGCTTGCTGGTGTGGGCTCCGCTTGGAAAGGACCCTCCAGACCTGGGGAGGGCACCGCGGGTCCAGTGCGGACACAATCGGGTTGCAGCTGAGTTAAGTTCGGTGCCCCATCCCTCCAGAGCCCTCGGCGCCCCCCGGCCCTCTGACTCACCTGAACCTGCGGGACCCGCCGGAGGCGCGGCCGCGGAGCGCAGCGGACGGGCGGAGCCCGGCGGGCGGCTGGAGCAGGTAGCGGCGGGCGGCGGGCCGGAGGCGGGAGGCCAGGAGCTTGCGGCGGGCGGCGGCGGCGGCGCATTTAACGGGGCGGCGGGTGGGGAGGGGGAGCGCGGGCGGCGACCCTCCCACTGGCAGGCGAGCCCCTCGCTCCGGGGCGGGGCGGGGCCTGAGCGGCGTCCGGCTCCAGCCGCCGGAGAGCCGCCCCGCGGCCCCGGGGCGGGAATTCGGGGCCGCCGGAGGCTGGGCGGCCGCCCCTCCGCGGCCGGAATGCGTGGGCGGCCTCGCGCCGCTTCCCGGGGGAGCCCCGAGGGGGAGCGGGGCTTGGCGGGCCGCGTTTGCCGCCCCGCTCCCCAGGGCGCGGTCGGCTCCTGGCCTCCGCTGCCTCCTCCAGGGGTGAGGATCGGCCCTGGACACTGGTCCTTCGAAGCGGGTAGAGGATTCGGAGCAGCCTTGGTTCGTGGCTCTCCTGGGCCCCACTGGTGGTCTTCCAATCTCTGCCATCACGGACTTCTGTGTTCTCTGCAATTGCTTAAGTCTTGGGCCCACCCACCCTTACCCACCCACCCTTACCCACCCACCCTCACCCAGCAAAACTCGCAGGCTGAGAAGCCACCAGGCCCTAGGCGCTGCCTGGCCCACTCGACGTGGCAGTGGAGGCCTTGCCATCAAGGAAAGTACAACTGAGACAGTAACAGGCCTCTCTCTCCGGAGGAAGGAGGGAGGGTTAGTTTGCAGGGGAACACTGACCTGCTCTCCTCCCCCAATCCCAGGAGACTGCGGACACGGGTTGGGGGCCCTTCAGTGTTGGCAGGTGTCTGCCAGCAGGCGAGAGAGGACCCTGCTCCCTGGGTCTAGCAAAGGCTACTGTCCCCTGGCATCAAGGTCCCCTCAGGGTGCAGGGAGAGCCGGGTGCCCTCGCAGAGTCTGCCTCCACCCCAAGGCCAACACAAGTTGGGTCTTTGTGCCGCTGGGGCATCGCCGCAGGGTGGTGTGTGTGCCTGGGCGGTCCAGGTGGGCTCCCGGCAAACCTCACTGAGAACCGTGCAACCCAAATATTTAGCTCACGACTTGCATGCGTCCACCAGTGGTCACCACTGGAACTTCATTTCATTCAACATTAAGGTGACCAGATGTCCCCCTTTTGGTGGGACAAATTGTTAAAAATCGGGACGCCTGGTCACCTTATTCAACATACGTGTGCTTTGAACTCCATGCCACCTCACCCTTTGATGCTTCCGCTGTGGGCCTCGCAGGGCCTCCCCGGAGCACTCCGCTGTCCTGCGGGAAGGCGTGCGCCGGTGCCTGCAGCAGCAGTGCGAGCAGACGGTGCGGATCCTGCACGCCAAGGTGGCCCAGAAATCCTACGGAAATGAGAAGCGGTAGGTGCCCCACGCGCCCCTCCCAGGTCGCTTGGGCATTTGGCCCTGCAAGCTCTTCCTCCTGTTTAGCATCTTTTGAAACCTGAGCAGGACTGGGGCTCAGCTGTGGCTAGATCATGGACCTTTTCCTTCAGCCACCAACAGGCCCCCACGTTGGTCTTAGCAGAACCTCCCTGGGAATCTGCGGTCTCCATTCATTCACTCACTCACCCATTCATTCACTCACTCACCCATTCATTCATACTTTCCTTCAACAATAGGGACTGAGTGCTTGTCATGTGCCAGGCTCTCTGGGCACCGCTGGGCACTGGGCATATGGCTGAACAAGACACATACGGACCCTGCTCTCGTGGCATCTTCATTCTAGGGAGGAAGAGACAGACAATGAAGTCCCCACAATCAATGAACGAGATTCCCAATGAAAGCTGGAAGGGAGTGGATAGTGCACTGTGATAGAAACAGAAGGGAAGGAACTTTTGCTAGAAAGGTCAAGGTAACGTCGGATCTGAGACTCGAATGTGGAAATGGAGCCAGACAGGAGAGAGCCTGGGGGAATTGTGTTCCAATGGGGAGAAAGAGGAAATGCACAGACCCCGTGGCAGTACCAACGAGGCCTGTTTGAGGTACAAAAGAAGTGCCGTGGCTGCAGTTTGAGAAGGGAATGGGGATGAGGGAAATAAAGTTGGAGAGGTCAGCAGGGGCCAGATCAGATGAGGACCTTGAACTTAAACCATTGGAGGATTTTAAGAAGATCAGTGACATGGTTGGCTCGTGGTTTTACAAATACAGATGTGGAGCTGCCAAGAAGCCAGTGGGTTCTGGGTATGTTTTAAAGGTGGAGGTGGCCTGGATGTTAATGGGGTTCACAGACTTGGAGGAGCCTGGGGAAGGGGTGTGGGAAAGGTGGAAGGGGATTCTTTCAGGTTTCTGCTACCTTTGAGATGCCTACAAGACAGAACAGGGGAGATGATACACGAGCTCGGCGCTCACATGTCTCCGCAGGTTCTTCTGCCCCCCGCCCTGTGTCTACCTCGCAGGTCCTGGCTGGAGGGTGAAGCCGGTGCCGGGCCAAGGTGAGGACAGACCCCAGGACAGGTCGCCTTCCTCGGGAGGGGACCACGCTGTACGGATTGGGAGCTGGGAGGTCCGCAGACCCAGTCTCGCTGCGCCCTCTGGCGGCGAGAAGTAGGCCTGTCCAGCCCCGGAGTCCCTCCCGAGCCCGCCGGCGTCCCTTTCCAGCCCACCTCGCCGGGGACACGGGGCCCACCGTCTGCGGCTACATGGGACTGGACGGCGCATCCGGCAGCGCCGCCGAGACGCAGAAGTTAAATTTCGAGGAGCAGCCCGACTCCAGGGTGAGAGTGCACAAGAGGGGAGTCCCAGTCCTGCTCCCACCCCTGCCTCTTCCTTGGGGAGGAGAGTCGTCTACTCCGCTGCAGAGGCCACCCGACAGGTGGGGAGGGGAGCCTGGACCCCGAGGGTCCGCCGGGAGGGCGCCCCGAGAGCTCTCGGGCTACGCCGCTTCCGTCACGTCTGTCCGATGGGGCGGACGTCAGATAACGGGGGGGGGGGAGAAGGGAGGAAGGTTCACCCCGAGTCTGATAGCTGAGACGAGCTGGCCCCACCCCCCTGAGCCCCGCAGGAATTCGGCTGCGCCAAGACCCTGTACATCTCAGACGCAGACAAGAGGAAGCACTTCAGGCTGGTGCTGCGGCTGGTGCTCCGGGGGGGCCGGGAGCTGGGCACCTTCCACAGCCGCCTCATCAAGGTCATCTCCAAGCCCTCGCAGAAGAAGCAGTCGCTGAAAAACACCGACCGTGAGCGGGGCGGGGCTGGACCGTAGGCGTGGCCGGGGGGGGGGGGGATTTGGGAGAGGGAGAGACCTGGCTTGTAGGGGTGGGTCAGAGTGGAAGAGGCGGGGTCTGAGCCGAGGGGGCGGGGACCCGGTCTGGCTGAGCCCGTGGAGCTGAGCTCTGGGAATAAGTCAGAGAAGCAAGGGCAGAGCTAAGAGGGACAGATACCTGTCTTGAGTGTGTGAGTTAGGGACGGGGTAGTTGGGGGACGGGGCGGGTGGGGGGGGGGGTGGGGGGGTTAAACGGCCAGCAGATACTGAAGGAGAGACAGATTAAAAGTGACAATAAAAAGAGGAAATTCCGTTAAAAATATTTAACAGAGGAAATTCAGTTAAAAATATTTGCTCTAGGCCTGGCTCTGTGCTGGGTGCTGGGTCCCTATAAAACAAGGACAAGTGTCTGTTCTAGAGGAACACACAGTCTGGCAGGGAGAGGGGCATGCATAGAGGATCAAAGAGAGAGTCTGAGACAAGTACCGTCCTGGGTGCCAAGTACTGGAGGATCTGAGACTATAAGGGGGTAGGGGAAGCCTGAATAACAGTGACACCACCACCACCATCCCCGATGGGAGGGAGGAGGAAGGGGGAGGCGAAGGGAGGGTTAGCTTTCTGGGAACACCTTACATGCACCAGCCTGTTTGATGCTCACTGTGTCCCTGTGAGGGAGGTACTGTCACTGTCCCCATGTTGTAGATGCGGAAAATGAGGTTTGGAACATTCATCCATTCGTCTGAGACACACTTGGGCCTAGCATATTCCAGGCCAGCTAGGAAACGGTCCAGCAGGGATTTGGACTTGTGTCCATGTCACTCCGGAGAAACCCCGAAGGATGTCTCAGATCCAAGCAGCGCTTGGGCTGGCCCTGGGTGTCAGGACGGGCCCAGGGAGGAGTGTTACAGTGTGGTGGGTGCAGTGCAGATTCTGGAGCCGGGTGGCCTGGCTCTGAATCCTGGCTCTCCCCTTTGCTAGTCCAGTGGCCCTCAGCATGTTGCTCTCTTCCGTGGAGATAATATCATCTACCTCCGAGGGTTGCTGAGAGGTTCAAAAGAACTCATGCCTATAAAGCATTTAAAACAGTACCTGGCACACAGCAAACTTCAGCTATTGGTCCATGGATCCGAACGTGGGCTGAGTGTACACTGAGCACCTCCAGTATGCCTAGCGCTGTGAAGGGAGAGAGGGAGATGGCCCGAGGTGTTCTCCCCGGGTGGTCAAAACCCAATCAGAAAACAAACGGTGGCTCTTCCTACGGGAGAGGCTGGAAGAGATCGATGCCAAGCCCCAGACACGTTGCACTGCTGTTTCACACCACAGGGCCTCTGCTTATGCAGCCCCCAAGCCCTTCTACCTACTTCACGCTCCCCAGCTGAGGGCATCACCTCCTCCTGGAAGCCCTCCTTCGCCCAGTCCTTACCCACCAGACTGAAATCTTATATTTATGTCCCTGCTTCCTCTCTGAGACCCTGAGCTCCTCCAGACCAAGCCTACATCTGATTCTCCCCCTGGGGCCCAGCACCCTGCTCAGGGCCTGCCTCAGGTAGTAGGTACTTCATGATCGTGTAGGGAGCTGAAGGACGCCCAGGCAGCCAAAGTGAGCAGGCGCACGTGCAGAAACAGGACTAGGGTGGGTGCTAGATAAATGGCTGTGACATGTGAATGCCCACTGTGTCTAGGCTGGCGGGCATTGGAGCCAAATGGGCACAGGGGACAGAGAGTGGAAGCGTCTGGCATGTCCAAGGGACCCAGCCAGGCAGGGGCCCTGACTCCTCCTCCCCTCTCAGTGTGCATATCCTCGGGCTCCAAGGTCTCCCTCTTCAACCGCCTGCGCTCCCAGACGGTCTCCACGCGCTACCTCTCCGTGGAGGACGGGGCCTTCGTGGCCAGTGCGCGCCAGTGGGCGGCCTTCACCCTGCACCTGGGTAATGACACCCGCGGGCAGGGGCGGGCACTTGCATTCACTCACCACAACACTTCAGGGGAGGTGACCTCTGCCCCTGGAACTGAGACTTTGAAACACAAAAAGACTTGCCAGGGGTCCCAGTGAGTTGGTGACTGAGCCAAGCCCCGTGACTCCAGTGTCCAGCCCAGGCCCTCACCTCAGCCCCTGTCCCAGGGGTCAGACCTTTGCGAGGATGGCCAGGGGGACCCGTCCGGGAGGAGAACCTTCAACCATACCCACAAGACCCACATGGGGCGCGGACGGGGTGGCGGCAGAGGCCAGAGGGCAGGGTTTGGAGCAGCAGCGTGGGGCCCTCTGAGACCCTCTTCTTCCTTCCTTCCTTTCCCCCCAGCTGATGACCACTCTTCCCAGGGAGACTTCCCCCCTCGAGAGGGCTACGTCCGCTATGGCTCCCTGGTGCAGCTGGTCTGCACTGTCACGGGCATCACGCTCCCTCCGATGGTAGGGAAGGGAGGGTCCCCAGAGCCACGCAGAGGGTGACCCACGCGGGCAGGGCTGGAGGGGGAGGGCCTGAGGCATAGAGACACCTGTGGAGCTCTCACCCAGGATACTCAGTGCCTTGTGGGGCCGGATAGAGGCAAAGGGCTGGCATTGGGCGTGGGGAGGTCTACCAGTGCCCACATGGCTACTGGAGGAGCAGAAAGCTGGCCGGGAGGGTGGCCTCCGGCACCCAGGCACCGGGCGGTCACACTTCCTGTCACCTTGCTGCTGTAGATCATCCGCAAAGTGGCCAAGCAGTGTGCGCTCCTCGACGTGGACGAGCCCATCTCCCAGCTGCACAAGTGCGCACTCCAGTTCCCCGGGGGCCCTCCCAGCGGCGGGGGCACCTACCTGTGTCTGGCCACAGAGAAGGTGGTGCAGTTCCAGGTGAGGAGCGGAGGGGGGTCAGCACCACGCCTCTTAGACAGAATGCAGAGAGCCACGGCACGTTAGACCCGCGGTCGGCAAGCCGCGGCTCCCAAGCCACATGCGGCTCTTTGGCCCCTTGAGTGTGGCTCTTCCACAAAATACCTCGGCCTGGGCGAGTCTGTTTTTGAAGAAGTGGTGGTAGCAGAAACTTAAGTTTAAAAAATTTGGCTCTCCAAAGAAATGTCAACCGTTGTCCTGTGGATATTTGGCTCTGTTGGCTAATGAGTTTGCCAACCACTGGATTAGACCATCATCGTTGTATGAGCTCTCCTTCCTCCCCGGGGGATGCTAGAACCATAGACTATGAACACAGAATCAGAGAACATAAAAATAAAAATAATAATAATAACATTACTGGGCAGTACTCCTTCCCACAGACTATTAGAGTCTTAGGAGGTTGGAATATAAAGTTGCAGGCTGAAAATAAAAAACAAACAAACAATAAATAAGGATATTGAGTGTGATGGAGCAAAGACCATTCGAATCATAACATTGTAAGTCTCAGAACTGTGGAACGTTGGGGCACAGAACTGCAGTGTTAAACATAGGATTCTAGGATCCTAACAAAATAGACCTTTGGAAGCCAGCTCACCCAGCGAACTTATTTAACTGGAGGGGGGGGGCGGGGAACGGAAGGGCCTGGTCTAAGCTCCAAGGGCAGGCATCCCGCAGCGCCTGGGACTGGAACCCAAAACCCGGAGCCCGGGGCGCAGCCAACCGGACTCCTGCCCCTCGCCCCGCCCAGGCCGCCCCCTGCCCCAAGGAGGCCAACCGGGCGCTGCTCAACGACAGCTCCTGCTGGACCATCATAGGCACCGAGGCGGTGGAGTTCTCCTTCAGCGCCAGCCTGGCGCGCCCCCGGGAGCCCGTCACCCCGGTGCCCCTCGTCAGCGCCCTGGAGGTGAGTGGGGGCGGGGGTGGGGGGAGGATGGGCGCTAGGAGGGAGGGAGGGGGGCAGGCTTGGCCACCCTCCCCCACATCTCCGGGCCCACCCTCTCCCAGCTCAGCGGCGGGGGAGACGTGGCCACGCTGGAGCTCCACGGGGAGAACTTCCACGCGGGGCTCAAGGTGTGGTTCGGGGACGTGGAGGCGGAAACCATGTACAGGTAATGGGCGGGGAGCGGAGGGGGCTTGTCATCAGCCCGCTCGGAGGTCCCTGCAGCCCTGACCCCCACCCCGCCCCCTGTCCCGCCTCAGGAGCCCGCGGTCCCTGGTGTGCGTGGTGCCCGTGGTGGCCGCCTTCGGCAGCGCCTGGCGCTGGCTGCGCACACCCATCACCGTGGCCTTGAGCCTGGTGCGCGCCGACGGCCTGCTCTACCCCAGCGCCTTCTCGTTCACCTACACCCCCGAGCTCAGCGCGCGGCCCGCGCCCCCGGGGGCGCCCCCGCCCGCCGCCCCCGCCGCCGCCGACGCCGACGCCGACGCGCTGCTGGAGAGCATCCACCGCGAGTTCACGCGCACCAACTTCCACCTCTTCATCCAGACCTAGGCCGCGACTCCCCTCCCACCCTCTGCCCCGTGCCCGGCGCCCCGCCCTCTGCCCCGGGTGCCCCGGAGGCCGGGGACCGCCGGGCCCAGCAGCCCAGAGGCTCTCGCCCTGAAACCCGACCCTGCGGGCTTGCAACTGGCTGCTCCTCTGCCGCCCAGGAAGATGCTCTCTTTGCTGCACTCCCGGCGGCTCTCCCGCCTTTGTTTACGGTTCACTCTAAATCACAGTCTGTCTCCCTCCCTCGGTACCTTTGTGGATGTCTCTCTGTGTGCCCTGCCGCTCCATCTTTATCTGTCTCACAGCGTTTCTCACGCCCAGGCCTGGCCTACAGACCCTGGAGCATGGGGTCCTGATGGGAGTATGAGATCTGTGGGGAGTGTCGGGTCCCCCCCTGGAGCCCCGGGTCCCCCCTGGAGGCCGGTGCTTCCTCTTTGGCTCACGTCTTTAGTGGTTGGGCAGGTGCCTGGGCACTGGGAGGGTCTTGCCATCTTCACTATCCACCAGGCCCTTCTCTTGTAGGCCCATGAGGATGCAGTACTGAGGGTCGGGGGTCACTCTGCTGTGCTAGCAGCACCCCGAATCCAAGTGAGATTCTAATCTGTACAACCCACCTGTCCCTCCAGTGTGCTTCCCCGCCCTCACACGGGAGGGAGGAAGCGCGGGCTGCGGAGCAGAGAGCTGTCCTGTGGGCCCCTCCTGGAGAGGAAGCCAGCAGCCCTGACCCAGTGCCGCCCCTGGGGGCCACCTGTTCACGCTGGCAATGAGTTACCCTACCAACAACCCCACCCAAGCAAAGATGCACCCAAGACACACAGGGGAGAACACAGGACACAATAAAACGTCCCCAGGGCACCTCCAGACACATTTGAGATCAACCGGGCAGTAACCCAGCTGTGAGAGAAGCTTCCCTGCATGAGGCCCGGAGACCAGGCCACAGCCATCCCTGCGCAGCCCGCCCGCCCGCCCTCTGCCGCTCTGTGCTCTCCGGGAAGCAGAGGGCCCGGGCAGGGTCCTGACTCTGGCTGCTGGAACCGGGCACACCTTTCACAGGTGCCAGCGGCCTGTACCAGCTCCTCCTGGTGCCAAGTGGAGAGAACCAGTTTGAAGTGTTGGTTCAGGGTTCTCATCTCCCCCCTGCCTGGACTTCCCTTGAACTCTGAGGAGGGGCTGTTTTCTGCAGAAACTCCTCCCCCAGAACATGGAAAGCCCCAGGAGAAAGACGATGCTGACACTTCCCAAGAAGTTTGCTCTTTAGACTCCCCGAAGCCTCGGTCAGCAGGGTAAACCCCCCTCCCCCATCCCAGGGAAGGAGCAGCTGGTTCCAGGCCCCTCCTCGCCAAGGAATGCAGGGCACAAGCTGAAGGGGAAATGTCCCCGACCTGAGTGCTCACCTCAGGAGAGCTTGGGCTCTGTGCCTGTGATGGTGGTGAAGCCGGAAGCCACTCCTGAGGAGGCTGAGAGGAGTTTTGTAACCCACCACACAGGAAGTTGGGGCTCAAGGGCCCATCCAGCCCTGCCCTCAAGGACTTCCTCTGCCACTCCACAGGCAGGCCCCCTGGAAGCCAAGAACCTAGGCTGGCCTGAGAGCGCTGGCCCAGCTGTGCAGCTCCCTCAGGGCACCCTAGAACCCTGGGTCCCACCCGCACTCCCTCCTGGAAGTCTATGACCTCAAAGCTCCAGCCCGAGCCTGAGTTCCAGCTGCTGGACTGTCCCTGGAGGTCTTCCCAGCCTAAGCCTGAATCCATGGAACACCAAACTCCCCTCACTGCCCGCCCCTCTCACAGCCCTTCCTCTCTGATCTCCTTCCCCCACATCACCCAGTTCCCAAGGCCTAAGGACTGACTCCAGCCCTCCTTCCACACTAAACTAGGCCTCCTCCTTCGCTCTCCTGCCACTACCACCCTGTCCTCCAAACCCAGCTCAGATGCCACTACCACCAAGGTCTCCCCAAGGCAGGATCGACTGCACAATGTACGGGGCCCCGTCCCAAAGTTATTCCGAATTCCAAGACAGCGACAGCAGAACCTGAAATCAAGGCTGGGCCCTGCTAAGCACAAGGCCTAGTGTGACTGTACATGTCACCAGGCCATAAAGCAGGTCATGTGTCCACACGGTGGAAAGCCTCACTGGGACCATGCCCCCCTTGGAATAAAGGGCTTTGTGTACATTTCAAGTGTCCCCTGTAGACCATGAGCTTCAAGTGGAAAGGAGCTCATCGCTGTATATCCTGGAGGGCGCAGTACAATGCTTGGTTATCGAGTTGGACTCAATAAATACCAAATTGCATTCCATTACATCTGGAGCTTGCAAGTGCGAAGTGAAACCAGCAAGTGGCACTGCCCCCTTCCTGAGAATTTGAGTTTTCCTCCTGCCAGGGTTCCTCAAGATAACCACTTTTTCAAGCTCTCAGGATCAGAACCTTCCAGGGTTGAGATACATTGCTCCCATTCCCATTTCCTCCTCATTTTTACTGATGGGGAAACTGAGGCTCTGAGAGAGTAGGCCCGCGAAGTTCTCAGAGCAGGTTGAGGACAGAGTCTGATTTGAATTCTATACTCCTAATGTTAAGTGTGGTGCTCTGAGGTTCTTTTAATTCTCTGCCTAATAGTATTTAACACTTTAGTTTGCTGCTAGCTGTCGGTAGTGTGTGTGCATTACAAGGGGCAGAAAGCAGGCGGCAGAGCACATAGTGAGAATAAAATCAACATTTTTTGTTCCAAAATCTCCCAATTGACCAGCTTTCATGCTACCTGAGGTCCTGCCATGAACAAACTAGCTTTCTGGCTTAAGCATGGACCTTTGGGTCTCTGTCTCTGTCTCTCTCTCATTTAAATTGGGTTTCCTCAAAGAGAACTCATAACCACAGTGGGAAATTCTCAGGTACCTTCCCCCCTGGGGAGGATGGGGACTGCTCATGCCGTAGACCATGAAGATGGTAAGAGAGAGAGGAAGTGGCTTTAAGGGGTATGAAACCAATAACACAATGAGTTTCACAAGGGTCCACATTGACCATACTCACCCCAAAGGGCCCCACGGTGAGGCTTGGCCCTGTTCCAGGCCCCAGTTGACAAAAGCAGGCGGGGCCGCGGTGACACAATACGCCTTCAGTGGTGAAGTGGTAAACACCTGCTCTAACTGGCTGCTGGCCACCTGGGGCAGGGGTGGGGGATGGGCGGAGCGGGCAAAGTCCTGGGGAAAGGCACGACCTTGTGACCAGGCTCCAGGTGGACGTGCTCTGGTTACAAAGTGTTGAAGTGGGGGCCACCTTACCAAGCTCACTCCCAAACCCCTAGTGATTCAAAATGAGCAGCCAGTTTGAACAGATGTGAGGGCTTCTTGCAAAACTCCAGTTACCAGGAGCAGAGACCCCTCCAGCCTCCGGGGGCCCAGGAAAACCACAGGTGGCAGGGGTCTCAGAGGGGATTTGAGACCAGGCTCCTTGCCTCAAAGGGGGTGTGTGGGCCTGAGCAACCCCAGTGAAGGGACGCTGACACAAAGCCTTGGGCATTGTGGATGTGAGCACTCTGGAGCCCACCGGCCGGGGTCGGAACTCATGGGTCGTGTGTCCATTAGGGCGAGTTACTTAACCTCTTCGCTGGATTCCTCATCCGTAAAACGGGGTGCTAACAGGATCTTACTGTGCGGAATTGTGACGAGTGAGTTCAGGAGTAAAGCACAGAATGGACTTCCTGGCGGTCTGGTAGGTGAGAAGGATCTTACCCAGCTCCCAGCGTGGCTGTGAGGATCAGAAGAAGTGTCCAGAGTCTGCCGATTACAGTGCCCGCTGAGGCCAAGCTGGTGACGTGAGTGAGGCTGGTGGACAGTCTGTGGCCAGGCCGAGAACCCCCATGTAGGCAGGCTCCTGCCTGTCAGCAGCTAATTGCTGCCACGCTACCTGAGAGCTGTCAAATCTTTTTCCCCAAGAGACATGAGGAATCTGGATTTTTATGGGAAATGGCCTCATTTCTAGTTGGCAGCTACTCCAAGGACTTCCGTACGTTTGTTTTTTAAACACGATCCTATCTCAGCAACACAGAGGTAGGCGTGCGTGCCCCACAGGCCTCGGCATGCACACTCCCACTCTCCCACCCCCTCCGGGCCTTTGCTGGCTTCTCACATCTCGGCCTCCGCTGTCCGCCTCCCCAAGGGCATGTGGGCAGGACAGTCATCTGAGGCTCCACTGAGGCCAAGGGAACCAGAGCCCGGAGAGACCTTATGAACTTTAAAACCACAGAAGCAGGCCAAAGCCGGTTTGGCTCAGTGGTAGAGCGTCGGTCTGCAGACTGAAAGGTCCCGGGTTCAATTCCAGTCAAGGGCATGTACATTGGTTGCGGGCACATCCCCGGCAGGGGGTGTGCAGGAGGCAGCTGATGGATGTTACTCTCTCATTGACGTTTCTAGCTCTCTATCTCTCTCCCTTCCTCTCTGTAAAAAAAATCAATAAAATATATTTTTAAAAAAATTAAAAAATAACCACAGAAGCGCACGATCTAGAAAGTACCAGGTTTTATTATCTTTTTATCAAAAAGTCAGTAACAGACAACAGTGTGAGGGGCTACAAGAGGTGCTCACTTCCAACCCAGCCAGAGGAAAGGGCCCGGGGATGGGTGGGTGGGGGATGGAGAAGAGGACCCAGCCAGCTGGGAACCCTGGGTTGTGGGGATGAAGGGGACAGGAAATGAGGCTGATTCTCCCCACCCCAGCCAGTGGGGTCAGAAGATGCAGCCTCCCCAGGCTAGGCTGCCAAGCCCTCCTCTCTTGAAGGGAAGGTCATGGGTAACAGGCTCCGAGCTAGGGCCCAATCAGCCTTCCCCAACCCTGTCCTTTGCCCAGGAAGACAAAGGTCATGCCAGCAGCGCTGGGGCCGTGACTTGCTCAGCCAGCTTAGTTCTCCAGCAGTGCTGTCCAACAGACGGAAACCACCTCCACCTGCCTGCTCACTCCAGCAGCCACTAGCCACGCGCAGCAGCTGAGCCCTTGAAATGCGGTTAGTGTAACTGAGGAATGGATTTTTGACTTGATGAAATTCTAATTGGCGTGGCCACCTGTGGCTGGTGGTTACTGTATTGGCGAGCACAGCTCTCCAATTTTCTCTTCAATTTGGAGAAATGAGGAACTCAAGCTGAGAGGAAGGCAGAACTATCTACCCTCAACTAGTCTAGCCCCGTGAAAAGGCACCAGGACCGGGGCAAGAGATACAGGCAAAACCCCCCTCGCCACAGAAAAATTCACTCACTCAACCGCCCAGCCAACTTCAAATGGGAATATCACACTACCTCCTGAAAAAATATATTCATCTATTTTCCTAGAACCAAGAAAGGATAATAATATATTACAAGAAAAGAGACACACATATCCCACCATCCCTTACATTATATTTTGGGATCTGCTAGATAGAAAACTATTATATGTCTCAGCAAAAGCCACTTCTTAGAGGAAGCAGTCTCGGAAAGGGTCCCACTCATGAGCAGAGGACTGTGAAGTCTGTTTTATAAAACGGGGAGGGGACCTGAAGGAAAACAGAAAAGCGAGGCCCTGTCGGAAGCTATAAATAGTAAAAAATAAAAATAAAAATCATATCTCCGGCTCTTCTCTCAGTTTCGAGAAACAAAAACCAAAAACAAAACCAAACAACCATTAAATACAAACTTAGCGGGTACGGTGGAAATGTGCACGAGCGCAGAGAGCGCCCCGGGCACCTGTGCACTCCTGCCCAGGCCAAGACTCTACACAAAGGAATGAACTGTTGAAAAACAAAACAAAACAAAACAAAAAAACCCCCACTAAAAATAGATTTACAAAAACTCTACAAATCCATTTCAATATGAACGTTCGGCTCCCCCACCCCCACCCTTCCCAAATAAAAAAGGTTGAATTCCAAAAGTCACTCAAAGAGCCCAATGGCCCGAGGTGTGGTATACCACACACTCCTGTAGTGTGGACACCGTGCCCTTCACGGGCACATCTCAAGGTGCGGGTGGTTCTAGCTCCTTCTCCAGGTTCCCGGCAGGGGGGCCGGCTATGAAAGGGAAGGGCGGAGAGGAAGGCGCTGGAGACAGGCTTCCCGTGGGACTCATTCGGCAGCCTCAGGGGGGCTCGGGTGAGGCGCGGTCAGTACAGGCTCTAAGCAGGACCAAGATTCTAAACTGGAAGATGCAGAAATAACGCAGCCCTAGACTTGCCTTTGGAAAGGCCACGTGGAGCCTTGTTTCTCTGCTGGGACCACGGAGACCCAGGGAACCCAGAGGCAGGCAGGAGCAGAAGGTGCTGTGTCTCCCGTCCCGTACAATGTATTCAGAGCTGAAGATGCTGACAGGTCAGGATTAGGTTGTCCTCCCCCTACTCTAAAATCCACCCTCCAAAGTCCCCCGGCGTCTCGCCCCCCTCAGGTCCAAGCCGGTGTCCACGGGGAAGCTTCAGGCGTAGAACTCGTTGGTGGGGGCTTTCTTGTAGATGGGCTTCTTGCCCAGGTCGTAGCTGCCTTCGTCCTTCTTCTTCATGCGGTACATCAGCAGCAGGACCAGGAAGACGGCAAAGAGGATGCCCACGGTGCCGCCCACGATCAGAGCTGGAGGGGAGAGGCACAGCAGGTGAGAGCAGCTCCTTGGGCCTCCGGGTACCCTCTCACGTCTACGGTTGGCTCTCTTACGTTGACGAGACATCCTCACCATCACACCGCCCATGCCCTGCACGCTGAGGTCGTATTTGAGCCTCACAGCCTCACTTATGATAAGGGGGTCATGGGGGTCAGGAAGACCCTAGGGCCAGATTGGCAAAGCCACCATTCCAACCAACACCTGTCCGAGTCCGAAGCCGGCTCTTTCCAAACGCCAGGTCGACTCCCCAGGAGCAGCTGAGCCCTAACTGAGCCAGAAGCAAGAAAAATTGCGGCTGTGGGAATGGTCACAGTCCTCTAGCTGTCCCTGTGTGCCCCTGTGCTCATACCGCCTACACATCTACAGATGGTGTCTATGCTACATGCACGAGTGTAACACATGCATGTCCATCCTGTGTCCTAGATAATTATTAGACAGTGGCCTATGATCAGTGGTTAAGGCTGGTGTCTCCTCCCACCCACCCCTCCTACTTACAAGTTGTGTGACTTTAAGTTCCTTCATCTCACTCATTGCAAAATGGAAATCATGTTACCTTTCACATGTGTGTTCTAAGAATTACATACATTCGTCCACGTAGAGTGCTTAGAAGTGCATAGCACATGCTTCGTACTCACAAACAGTACATGTTTGTGGTTTCTGTCTGCCTCCCTAGTGCCCTGAATCGCGCCTGATGTGACGCTGACAGCTGGGCTCAGAGGAGAGCACAGCGGGGCGCCGGCCAGAGTCAGGCAGATGTGGGCTCCCAACGCCAGGATGTTCTCTGCGCTCTGCCAGGAGGCCGGAATGGCTCCTTGTGTTTGTGGAGGGGGCAGGGACGTCTCATGGAATCCTTTCTGTGGCAGATTGAGTCCCCTAATTCGGACTTACTCAGGCTAAGAAGATTAATTTTCCATCCCTGCACAAAGCTAGGCGGGGAATGGGGCCACGGGAGCCGAGGAAGGTTTTTTCTTGGCTAAAACTCTATGAAAAGCAGCAACAAAGTGGCCCCAGGAGATGCCAGGAAAAGGATTTCGAGTGCCAACCCCATTCTTGTCATCCCTCGGATGACCCCAGCTCCTCTCGTAGTTCTGGGCTGGGACTCCCCACAAGGTCCAAGTTCAATTACAGTCTTAGAAGTGACTGTGGTCCTGGACTCAAATGCCAGGTCTACCACTTTCTGGTTTTATGACTTTGGACAAGTGACTTGGTTTCTCGGAGACACAGTTTCCTTCTCTGTAACGGGGTCGATAACCATACCCATCTGATAGGGCTGTTGTGGGGACTCTAATGAGAGGAGCACATGAGCCACGTGGCACATTGCAAGCATTCAGTAAACTCCCAGGTGCAGTTTGAAAAGGTGGGATGGGTCCTAGCTGGTTTTGCTCAGAGAACAGAGCGCTGGCCCGCGGATTTTGAAGGGTCCCGGGTTTGATTCCAGTCGAAGGCCCTTGCCCCGGTTGTGGGCTTGCCTCAGTAGGGGGCATGCCGGAGGCAGCTGAACAATGATTCTCTCTCATCATTGATGTTTCTATCTACCTCTCCCTTCCTCTTTGAAATCAATAAAAATTGTATTTTAAAATAAAGTAAAATAAAAAGGTAGGATGGGAAGGCCCTGCCTCAGCTAACTCGACAACATAACTTCACATGAAGACCATGCACTTGTATCTTCCTCTGCTGCAAGATGGGAGAGAGGACCGAACCTCAGCCTGCCTCTCGCTCCGTGACCCAAGCAAGTGGGTGCCTTCTCTGGGCACCAGCCTTCCCATGGAGAAGAAACAGCTGCTTACAATGGACCACTGGCTTTTAAAGCCACTGTTATGGTTTGTTTGTTCTTTTAAAGCCATGAAGGAAAAAAGGAATAGAACCCTTACTTGGTAAAAGCCAAACCTTCTGGGAACCCCATACGAGCTTCTGAAAGTGAAACTCTGGTTGAAGGAAGGTAGGGGAGGCTTTAAAACTGAAACCTAAAAGACTAACTGGTCTCTCTAAGGGCTCCTCTAGTGCTGACAGCACCCCCACCCACCTGCATCACTCAGAAAGTGGTGAAGGAAAAATAAGAGCATTGGCTCAGTACCAGGGGCCCAGGGTCAGGGCTGAGAGGGCCCAAAGTCACCTGGGGTTACATTTCCAGGAGCCTCATCTGCCAGATGCAGGCAAGATTTGGCCCGGCCAGTGTGGCTCAGTGGGTGAGCGTCAACCTAGGAACCAGGAGGTCACAATTTGATTCCAGGTCAGGGCATATGCCTGGGTTGTGGGCCTGGTCCCCAGTAGGAGGTGTGCAGGAGGCAGCTGATGGGTGATTCTCTCTCATTGATGTTCCTATCTCTCTCTCCCTCTCTCTTTCTCTTTCTGAAATAAAAAAATAAAAAAATAAAAAATAAAAATGGAGCCAGAGCTGCTACACTAGAGAAATTGCCTTGCCCACATCTGCCTGACCCTGGCCGGCGGCCCCAGGCTGTGCTCTTCTTTGAGCCCAGCTGTCAGCGTCCTTGACTGTGACATCAGGCGCGATTTAGGGAGGCAGACAGAAACCTTTGGAATGTTAAAAATGGACAAAATAATCTTTGGAAGGGCCGGGCCTTAAAGCAGCATTGTATTCCATACAGCTGTTTGCAAAGATAATAGGAAAACAGGTATCATGACTAAAAATGAAAGACATTCTTTAGAATTAGCATCACTTTGCTAGTTTATCGGTTTCTTTAGTGTATATGATACCCACAGGAACGCCTAACTTCTATTCATGTCATTATTCCCTTTCCCTTTTTCATAAATACCCCTTGCCTTCACCGTCTACTCAGAACACTATTGGAGCCTGAATCGATGCTTCCTGACCTGCTACTCTTCTGGATCTCAAATAAAACCCTTGTTGCCTCTCACCTTAACCTTACATTTTAAGTTACTAACAAATCAGAGTAGCCCTTTCCCGTTTGCCCAGTTATCTCAGGTTCCATTTTTCATGGAGTTGTTATATCAGCCTAAGGAGGTGTCTTTGTCCCCACTTAGAGAGGAGGAAACTGGGGCCCATCTCCACTGAGGTTCAAAGGCCAGAAGCCTGTCAGGTGATAGAGTCCGGACTCAGGGGAGGAGGTAGGTGGAGGCGGGGAGTTAGCCTAATCCTAAGGAGTGTCTGGGCTTTCAAGGGAGGTTTTCAAAGAATGTTGACTTTTAATAATTAAATCCCTAAGTACCAAACCCAGGAGGTGAAAATGCTTTGAAAATAAGAGAAGGATTTAAGGCAAGTGAGTGACTCAGCTCGTCTATTCTTTAGGAGACTTTGATGTGCAATTATTCTCCCCCTCCATCAGCGGCACAGTCACAGCCCCCCTGAGCCCCACCTTTAAGGTGGGACACCCTGAGTGTGGCTGTAAGGTGCCCCTGACTGAGGCACCGCTCCCCACCGAGCCCTCCCGCTTCTGTGAGGAGGGAAGCCTTACCCGCCAGAACCTCTTTTCTCTCGAAGATGTTGCTGCTCTGGGCAGTGCTGGACATGGACACCTTGTTGGAAAGGTCCTCGTTCCCTTCGAGCCGTGGTGAGAGGCCCTTGGGGATGACCTCATTCTCCTCCAGCTCCTTGGGTTCGGTGGGTACCCGGCTCCCAGGCCCTGCCCTCTCAGGAATGTGGTTATCTATGGGCACCTGGATGGGGGAGAAGAGGAAGGCTCAGTACAGTTTGGGGAGAGACCCGGACAGAGGACAAGGGCATTCAGCCAGGTGGGGAATCTGGTTCTGCCTTCTCACTGGCTGAACCATGTGGCCCTGAGCAGGAGTCGGCCACAACCTCAGCAACTTTCCCAGTAAGTCTCTCCAAATGGGAATGAACGGGACCAAAGGTACAGGGAAGCAGGTGCCCCACGCATTGCCGCTCAGTGAGTATTTTAAAGGTAATCAGTCTAAGTGGGTATTTTAAGAGTAACCACTCAGAAATTGCTTGCCTACTGAGGCAACAATTTTGCCTCTGGGACCCTGCCTTAAGATGCTAATCAGATAGCTGTATCAAATGTTTGCTATAGTGATATAATTTCAGAATATCAAAAAGTTATAAACAATATGTACACAGATAATAATTTAATAAAAAAAAAGTTATAAACAACTTTTTCCATCAATCTGGGGAGCTGGGGGAACTATAGTTATGCAGCCTCTAGCAAGAGGAAGAATATTTAATCGTGTGGGGAAATACTCATGACCACTTTAAGTGAAAAAATGTATGACACAGAACGCTCTATCTTTGATATTCATGTTGGGAATAGCTATAAAAGCACATGAAAGGGGCTGGAAACACACCTAAATGTTGATAGTGGTTATTCTTGTAGGAAAGATGGCCTACCCCTGACCCACGGTTGTGCCTACCCCCAAGGATCCCAGGGTCACAAATATAAGTCTTCTTGCCGCACCCTCACTGATTCTGCCCCTCTCAACAGCTGTCACAGAGGAGGGGGAGAAGCAAGGCGCGAGGTTACTTACCAAGGGTTGGGTCACTTTGGGGAAGACCTTGGGGTCCTCTGAGTCATCTGTAAGTTCAGAAAGACTGTGTGAGTGTGAGGCCAGTTACCCCCGGATCAATGACCCTCTTTCAGAGATGGCTTCTGGGAGTACACACTTTATCAGCAGCTCCCAAATGCTCTATGTCCAGCAAGGGACCAGTTTCCACTCCAGCCTCAGTCATCTCATCTGTAAAATGAGGGTCCTAACACCTGCCTCCCGGGCTCTTTCCTGGAATAGTTTGCTGGTAGCTGGACAGGTGCTTTGTCAACTCCAACCCCTTGCTCAGTAAAGGGTGGATCCAGGTACCAACAGCACGCCTGAGGGACCCACTGACCCACAGAATCTGCATTTTAACAAGATCCCTGGGGGCCTTGTTTGAAAAGGCAGGACTCCAGATACAATATTAAACATTAGAATTGCTGTATTAAAACATTTCCTTAGCACTTGGTATGTGCAGAGCTTCACGTGAGTCCAGAGCCCAACACAGAGATGTGATGTCATTTCTCTTCCCGTTTTATAGACTTGAAAACCAAGGCTCAAAGGCCAAAGGCTGACCGTGTGAACTCAGGACGACTATGTGACTCCAACGCTCAAGCTTGGAATCATTCCGCCCCTGCACACAGTGGGGATGTTTCCTCGCAGCTCTTGTCTAGTCCAGAGTCCAGGGCAAGGAGGTCACCAAAGACCACACAAGGCCCTCGCCCCAGGTCCAGCCCTAAGAAGCTGGGGCGCCTTCACCCGCTTCCCCTCCCTCTGAAGCCAGGGCTTATTCTTGATTCCCCACCCACCCCTCGGCCCTGATAGACCCCCAGGTCTTTTTCCTTTTCAAAGGAAGGAAAACACTCAGTGCTCCCCACCCCACTCCACTCTCACTAATCCTAGATGGACAGGTTCAGGCCGCTGCTCAGGAAACCAGAGCCACAAACGCCCAGCCCAGGGAGGGTCTCGGGGGTGGGAATGGCTGGTCCAGTGCTTGGCTTCCTCTTATTTGAGCAGGGAGGAGCACGCTAGGATATCCCCACCGAAGGCACCCTCCCGGGAGGAGAGTAAACATTCCCGCCAGCCCCGTGCCCTGGGCCTGCCCACCGCACCCTCCGTACCCAGGTCTCCGGAGCCAGACAGCTCCAGGTCATCGAGTTCCCGCCCAGGGCCCCCCGCGTCCTCATCATCTGGCAGGGGTCCGGAAAAGAACCGGCTTTCTCGGAGGTCTTGGGGGTCGATGACTTCGGTCTCTCGGATCTAGGGGTGAAAAAAGGAGACAGATCAGCCAACAGCCCCCAATAGCCCCACAACAGCCCCCTGAGCCCCAAAAGGCAGTAAAATGGGCATTCGAGAAGGTAAACTGAGCCAAAACCGGTTTGGCTCAGTGGATAGAGCGTCAGCCTACGGACTGAAGGGTCCCGGGTTCGATTCCGGTCAAGGGCATGTACATTGGTTGCAGGCACATCCCTGGTGGGGGGTGTGCAGGAGGCAGCTGGTCGGTGTTTCTCTCTCATCGATGCTTCTAGCTCTCTATCCCTCTCCCTTCCTCTCTGTAAGAAATCAATAAAATATATTTTTTTAAAAAAGATGGTAAACTGAGGCGCTAGAAGGGGGGCAGGCCAGAGCCTAGAGTCCTGGGTCTGGGCTCCTCGTGGCCTCTGACGTGCTGTGGGGCCTTCGGCAAGTCTCCTTCCCATAAATAATAAAGGCGGCAATAATCGTAATGTAAATGCAGCACCAGGTACCATTTACTAAGCTCTTTGCGATGTGTCAGGACCTGTTCTCAAACCTTAACCCTATTTTACAAGCAAGGGAAGTGGGCATTAAGGACATAAAACCATTTTGTTTCGGTGACAGAGCTGCAGATGGAGGAGTGAGGATCCCACGTCCGGCTGCCCGGCTTCAGAGTCCCACACAGGCCGGCCGGAGGGCACCCTCTGCCGGAGCGCTGTGCGGCCGCTGGGCTGATTCACCCACGGCGGAGAGGGCTGCGGGCTCTGGGACCCCTTTCCCAGCTGAGTCAGACTTGGCGGGGGCAGGCAGGGCTGGGCAGGCAGGGCTGGCTCTCCCACACCCTGGGACAGCCTCAGGTCAGGGCGTCGCCCAGACCCAGTGACTCAGGAGTGCATAAACACACTCCTGTGTTCAGCCTTCCAAAGAGCCCCCACCGGCCTCCGCTGCCACCAGCACTGTGCAGGACACGGGGGAAGCACCGTTCCTGCCTCAGGGACCACCTGCTCCAGCACCCGTCAGTGTCGCTCAGCCCCTACCCATGGGAACCCATCTGGTCACAGCAGAATCTTAGGTCCACCCCGACAGAGAGAAGCCTTTAAAAGGAAAGTAACAAAGGCCTAGCCAGGGAAGCAAAGAACCTTCTCAAGGTCCTACAGTACACCAGCTACGGGCTCCCGACCTTCCTCTTAGCTCCTGGGCTAAGGTTCTGTGTGCCCACGGACAGCAGTCCTGGGCCAAGTTCATAATTGCACTAATTAATTCAAATAGTAAAGTGCCTACTACTTGGCAGAAGGGTTAGGGTTTCGATTAAGTTCAATACACACACACACATACACACACACACACACACACACACACACACAAACTCCCACCCACCCCTCCAACAGTTTCTCATCTTCTTTCCCAGAACCCCTAACTGCAGGAGGTCAGGGCTCTGCTCAGAACCATAGAATACCAGCTGGAGAGAGGCCAGGGAGTCCAGCTCTCTCATTTCACAGAATTTGAGAGAATACTAGCCCCAGACAGTCAGTGACTGGTCCAAGTTCACACAGTGAGTTAGCTACATAGCTCAGAGAGGATGCCCGGGCCATCCTGCACCCACCCATCTGCCAGGGGAGCCCAAGAAGGAGTACTGGTTCCTAAGACAAGGTTACCATTGCAGGAAGGGCTGGGAGCCTCCTGCCCTCCCTCAGCTGGCTTCCGGGGAGAGGCAGGTGGGTGGGCGGAACTTGCCAAGCCCTCTTCCCCTCCCATGAGGGCATAAGCTGGATTCCGGGAAGGGAGCGGGCCAGGCTGGGAGGAAGGCATGGGGAGGCACCTCACTCCCACAGGAGAGGAGAGTCTTTGCTGACCGCTGGGCACACAGCTGGGTGGAGAGCCAGGGGGTTAGGGATGACTTCATGACTGGGGAATCGGGAGCTGCTGAGCCGCTGGCGTTGGAATTCCAGCCCCCACACACTCTGCCCTGTGCCTGCGGCTTTGGTTTGGCAGCTCAAGGCTTCACGGTGATTGCACATGTGCCAGGCCCCGGGTGGGGTCCCTGTCCTCTGGGGCCCAGGACCTTCGTGGCTTACCTAGCTGAGCACTTAGCATGAAGTGGTTCGATGAATAGATGTTTTGTTTTGTTTTTCACAGAAGTGGAAAGGGGATGAGGAGAGGGTAAGGTAAACTCACTTGCCCAAATTCACACATGCAGAGAATGGCCACACTGGACCAGACCCCAAGCACGGGTCTCCTGAGCCTTTACCCGCATACACACAGACCCACATGCATAAACACACGAACACACAAAGTGCCCGCCGACCCAGGGTGCCCTGCTCCGTGGAGGGAAAGATGGAGCTGTGACCACTTGCTGGCCCGGCCTGGAGACCAGAATGGCTGTGGGAGCCAGAGCTCCAGGCCCTCAAGACAGCGGCCAGGGTCTGGACAGGACTATTTCGGGCTGAGATCCGCCCTCCCCAGGGCTTGTCCCCAGGAGCCATATAATGTTGCTTCTGAGCCTGCCTTCCAGTATGTGACAGTGTTTCAAAACAGCCAGGGTTAGCACACTGATTGGCTGATAGTAACTACCCCTGTCTTACGCTGGTAACATGAAGACTGAAGGGGTAGGCATGGCATTCCTGCAGCCAAATCTGCAAAAACGAAGCTGAACCAGATTTATTCCCAGTTCAGCCCTCTGTGATCACCTGGCCATCCCTAACCCTTCCCATGCACACCAGGTTCCTGGGGAGGGAAAAGCACTTGTCTGAGATCACACGGGGGGCCAGGTGCAGGGTCAGGATTCGACCCCGTGGATACCTGTCCCAGCTCTAAAAGGACGGGGTCCCGAAGGGCTGCATTAGGTGGGCCTGAGCGCACTCCTACAGCACGTCAGGTGACCTGGCAGGACTATGAGGTGTGCTGAGAAGAGGAAACAGGAAACTACATTCGTCTTCAGCTCCAGAAGCACCCTCTCTGGCTCCTCTGCCCAGGACCCTTTAAGACTAGGCCAGCATGACAGGACTGAGTTGCAGGGGCTTGTGGGTTATCATCCCTTTGAGGGCAGAGGTGGAGTGCCAACAGCCCACCTTCTTATCAGCAAGACTCATGCCGCCTGGGGTATCTTTGACAAACCAGGCCACCCAGCAGCCAAGCCCAGTCCTGATCAGAGAAGGACCCCACCCTGCTCCTGGCTAAGGACGTGGTCTGTTCACCTGAGCTCACCCCATCCCTGCCCAGAGAACATGTATCCACACGTGTGTTCAGGCCCAGGCATCCCATCCTCTCTGGGCCCGCAGGTCTCCCCACCTTTTGTCCTTCTCACAGACACACAGGAGATATCACCTGGGGAACAAGGCAGGGGCCTGGGTCTCACGGACCTGCTGGTCCCGAGGCTGGGGCGCCCCTGGGGCTGGGGCCTGGAGGGTAACAGAGGCTGAGTGCCTCCCCACACTGTCCACGGGAAGAGAACTAGGTGCTGCTTTGTTCTAAGGGACTAGCACCTGCCAACAGAAGGTATCTGAGGCCACCGAGCACAAGCGTCTCGTGTTATAATCCAGCCGACAGATTAAAGGCCCAGGGGCTTTGCCAAGGTCACCCAAGCAGTTGGCGGCGGGGCTGGACTTGGAACGGAGGTCTCCTGGCGCTCGGGCTGCACTTGTCCTCCCTCCCCCTTCCCGGGTTTTGGCTGCCCCGAAGGGTCTCAACAGGTCCACAGGCAGTGGCTATCACTGCAGAAACACCCCCTTCCATGCCCAGGCATGAAGCTAGGAAAAGGTCCCCAACCCTGTCCCAAATGCTACAGCTTTTGTCACAAGCCTGGGGGCTGGGGCGGCTAGCACAAGTGCCCTCTGCCTGCCGGGCCCCCAGCCGGGTTCTTCTCTCTAGGAGTTCGTTTTGTTGGCACAAACTGGGAGGGCATTCTACCCATTTGCAGGTTTGGTTGAGTCCATCCGAAGTCACAGAGCTAGAACGTGACTGAGCTGGGATTCCATCCTAGATCTTTCTCAAGACTATGCCTTAGCCACAGCCAAACTTCTCACTGCCACCCACGTGTCACCTCTCCACCCTCTCCACCCTGATCCCACAGCCCACACTGCCAGGCCAGGCCTGCAGGGCACCCCTTCCCCCGGCCGGCGGGTAAACAGAGTTGAAAGTGATATTGCTTAAACAAAAGAGCAGAAAGTTGGCTGGGGCACCAGGGAGAAGTTCAGGGTCAGGGCTTGGTTAACTATGAACTGGTTCAAGGAGGGAGGAGAGCCTTCCCCCACCTGCCTCTTCCCCATGGGAGGTAGGGTCGGGCTCAGGGACACACCTGACCCTTCTTTCAAGAGGTAAGAGCAGAAGAGCAATGGATTTGGGGTGGGGGGGCAGGTTAGTGAGCACCTGGGCAGAGTGATCCTGAAGGGGACCACTGACACAGTCACTCCTCCCCCACCTCCCTTCCGAAGGTCAGGCATCCCCCCCCCCCCCCCCCCGCCAGATTGAGCAAAACCTGAGGGCCACCATCAGGACTCTCTACACCCTGGCTCCACCAGAGTAGTTACCCGAAAAAGCAGATTCGTAAGCAAAACTATAGGAGCCTGGGGCTTATACTTCACATCTTGAATCCTCAGTCTGCTCTTTCGGTGACTAGCGCTAGGAGCACCTGGCAGAATGAGGGGGATTACATGAAATGCATTGGTGTGTGCAAGGGACCCATCATGGGGCCTGGCACACAGCAGGTGCTCAGTGATTAGCGGCTGTTATTAAGCCCCACCTGTCTTCCTTCCCCACCTGTTTTCCTTTTGGGTAAGGGGATTAACGGCCAAAGGTCAGAGGACCTGGGAAAGGTTGTTGAAGCAATTCCATTGCTGGAAAGAAGGTAGTTGGAGATCATTTGCAAACTGGGGAGGGACATACGAATTCTGGGTCAGAGACTTTTCCACAACCAATCCCGCCCCCTTCAGGCTGTGCAGGGGAGAGAGACCCTATGATGGGCAAGACCTGCCCAAGGTCACACAACTTGGAACACCTGTCCTAAGCAGATAGACGCAGAAGTAGGC